CGTGGTCTGCTAGTCTAGTGGCAGCACTGTCTGCCTGTTGGCCCAACGTACATGTTGGCCCAACGTATATGTTTTAAGCAATTCTTCATCAAGCCAGTATATTTGAAGGGATAACGAAAATTGTACAGTTGGACAGGGTTAATAAGTGTAATTTTATTACATCTCGTCGTTTTCACGCCACCCGCATGGCAAGATTGGAGTGATGAGTTCCTTGTGCACGGGAAGTGGTGGGGGGGCTGAACTTGAGTTAGGTTGTGGACATTGCGCAAGGGTCGGGTACATGGAGTGTGGCCGACCCCGATGCCAGTTGGTGATCGCAGATCGCCCCCACACCCTAGTGAGAGTCGTTCGCTCCGTGCAAATGACAGCAATTATCACCCCATGTACATACCTGTCCCTGACCAATGCCCAAAACCTAACCCAATTTCCTCTCCCTCCCGATCTCAGGAACCTCTACAGGCCGATCCGCCAGCGGCATGAAAACCATGAATTACAATCAAGTACACTTACAAACCCTGCCCAACTGTACAATTTTCATTATCCTTGCAAATATGCTGGCCTGATGAAGACCTGCTGAAAATATATTTTTGCCAAATCGACTTTTCAAAAATGAATTATGCTGTCCGTGTAAGGCCACCGCCACAATTTGACACAGCTGCAATCAGTCACTTGGTGGAATATCCCATGCGTGTGACGACGTCTACTTACGGTTTGTGCTGTCGTTGCATCGGATCGAGAAAATTCCACAAATATTTCTGTTTCTAGTTCACAATAAAAGCCTCAAGACTTACGATGAGGTAATCAGTCCGCGTAATGTCTCCTTGTGATAAAATGCGGTAAGCATCTCCTTTTAGCAATGCCACGATATAAAAAAGACCCAGAGTTTGTGTTAATAGGAGGCCGGTGATGATACGGGTTATAGGGGTAGGCATATCAAGGGGAAGGAAAATAAAATAAATAAACAATGGACTCAGAAGTAGAAGATTAGAGTGCACGTATCACAGTACTCTACGGTCACCTCTGATGAAGAGTTCCCAACAGAATCCGAAACATTAGTCAAATAAACTTCTTGTTCCAGCAATCACATCCTCTATTTCTGTACTGCTCTCTGGGACTCGCCCATTTGCCTCTACCGGCAAATAGTGAACTAGTAGGAACAAAAATAAACAAAACTAGTAAAACTAAATAATAAGCTAAAAATAGGCTAAATTAAACCAAAACTAGGCTAAACTAAAATTAAACAAACACAAATAAACATATAAATACACTAAATGTTAGACAACAACAAGAACACGTTGGTTAAATCCAATACAATACAGTGTTGTTTATATGGAGTCCTTACCTAAAATAAGTTTTTTGCCTTGTAGAATAGCCTCAGTGGCATCAACGCGCAGGTCGATAGCTACCTCGTTCTCTCTACCATGACCCAGCCCTGGAATCGAACTGTTATTGAAGATTTCAGTCTAAACGCCACCTACACTGATGACAGTATGCGTACCTACGGCCTAAGAAGCCGGCTCAACACCTCCGAAAAGAGGTACGCTGCAACCATCACCTCCACACAATCATCTGAAGTCCACATTGATACCAAATACGCCATTGAGACTGGACAAAACTTCCTGACTGCCTTCAACTCAAGCATCCAAGCATTCAACAAATCGGAGCGATATGCAGTCAAGACTAAACTATTCTTCAGTACCACTGAGCGCACCGCTGGTCTTATCTACAGCCTTGAAGAGACCTCAAGCGATACCTCGCTGCTCCTGGCAAAGGCAACAATCCAAACTCCCTACCGCTGGCAGTTGCCCCTGAACTGCTCTCTCTCATTCGTGTTACCCCTGGCATTCAAGTACTCACAGATTGCCGGCAGCTCCGAGCTGTTTCTTTCACCAAAGAAGGTCTTCTTTGACATAGCCGCGTGGAACCAGACCTTCGCGGCCTTAAATCAAGGCCGTGGCTTTACCGCAGGACTCCGGTATGACTTCGAGAATCTTCGAGTTTTTGAAGCAGATGGTCATTTAAAGGTGTACCAGGACCCTACTGCGGAGATGCCACACAGTCTCAGCTTCACTGCCCGACAACGGAAGGATGATGATTTTCGCCTGTACGTATTTCGGGCTAGGACATCTGCGGGCAGTGAGGCCAATGTACGAGTTCAACAGGAGGAGGACAAGGTTTTCCTCCTGTTTGCAATGAAACCGGCTGTACAGATGGAGACATTTAAGGGGATTTTCTACAAATCAACCTCCAGATACTCGCGAACCAGCAGCGAATTTATTCTGACGCATACTGGCGAATGGAACGCCAATCGGGGCTTCGCTCCGGGAATGCCTTTCCGCTACGGCCTCGAGTATACTCATGCGCCAAACTTTACGACAGGTCAGGTCTACGTTTACGCCGATGACAGTCTTTTGGGCAAATTGATCCGCATAGAGCTGGCTGAACTGATGTACGATTATTCATGCTATAGACAGTGGAGTCAGTACCAGTTTAATAGCGAGGGCATGCTGAATTGGAGACGACATCTGGGGCGTGGTACTGTCGGCAGTCACGTCACACTGAACGGAAACATCGATACAGATTTCCGCGAAGGCAACTTTGAAGTCGTCGTCGAGTTACCAGACCAGAACCAATCACATCTACGACTGCTCCTCGACTACGAGAAACGAGAATCAAGGTTTTCTCTTGCCTTTAACACCTCCCTTGCTGGACGGCTCATTTATGCTCTGAATACGTCCCTTCTCAAAGATTATGACAGAACGTTCGACTTTGTAGGACGTTTTTCAACGGTAACACATTCCGCCCCCATCATTGAACTCCAAATTCTGCGTGTGCCCGTCTGCAGATATCGCGACCCCTGGTCCTATCGATGTTCAGACCATGGTAACAAACAGCTGATAGGCAGTCTGAACTCCTCTCTGGCGCTTCTACCCAGTCTGACATTGAGGTATGACAATACGGGCTCTTGTGGAAAATTGACCGGGCATCTCAGCTACCGAAATAGGACTTATGTTGATACATTTATCAGGTCTGCAGACGATCAAAATAACTTAGATGCCCACTTTCTGTCCTCTAATACTATCATGCCAATAAAAGCAAACATTAAATCCACCTACTCATCCTACGAGGCTACGCGACGCCTTGACGGTAATTTTGAATTACCTAAGCAGAACATTACAATCGCCTTGTCTAATTGTTCACTACAGAGGAAATATGCTCAAACGCGCTTCGGTGGTGAAGTCTTTCTCCAGACGGGATTTGTAAATTGGACAAAGGTTTATTTCACTCAGTACGTCTTATTTACACGAACAGAAGAGCGAACGGAAACAGGAAGAGAAAAACGAACAGGCGTGAGCGCTACCGCCCTGGGCCTGCGTGAGGGATCACGTTTCTTTAGCTTGGAGCTTCATGACACCTCTCTTCCGAACACCAGTCTGGCCGTATTTACACAACTACCGAAGCACATTTTCGGTCTCACAACGTCCGAGCTGTTCTTGGAGAAACAGACCAATGACAAGGCAGCACAAGTCAACATCTCCGGGCACTTCTATTCACTACCCGTCTTACTGAATAGCGAGTTTAAACTCAGTCTGGTGGATTCTCTCTTTATTTGGCCGCGTCCGCGCTTGATGTCGTTAGTTCGACGGCCTCAAAAGCAGCTCTTCGACGCCTTCCTCAGCTGCACTACATCGGATGCCAAGAATCATACGGCAGACATCTCTTGGCGCTTTGCTAGGCATGCTAAACAACCGAACGGCAGTTATGCCTTCAACACATCAGCTCTCCTGAAGTCAGACTATTTGCCACAAAAGGAGATCACGTTTTCGTTGACTCAGCCCTTCGGCTGGTACCCATCTCTACGCGGTAGCCTCAGGTCAGGTGTGATGCACAACTTTACATACAGTCTCAACTGTTCCTCCTTTTTCCTGCCCCCAGAGTGTTTCCTTCTGGTAGAAAATCTGAGTCCCAGCCTGCGCAGCTTCGAGAAAGCTGAGCTTACTTTGAAAAGGCCCAAGGCTGACGGACCGATTCACCTGAGACTCACTGTGGACGAAAAGCACAAGGCCGTTGTGCAGCTACTTTACACTTCCGAACCACAAACAACGACTCTACTGTGCGTGAATTCTAGTCTCGAGGTTAATGGTACGCTGGTGTTTGATACGAGGACAACATTGAAGCAATCACACTGTGACAGGAACTATTATATCCTGTTGAAATCCTCGGAAAAATGGAGGAGATCCGCCGGTGAGCCGTCGGAGATAAGTGTTTGGTTGCGTGTGAATAAAACCGACAACGGAGCCAAGGCGAGTGCTGGACTCGATTTGACAACCTCCACCAATACGTCTGAAGCTAAAACATTCGGAGGCTATATCAGCTGTTCAAAGTGGAGGAACATAGCGTATTTGTTGTGGCGCATCGATTCGCTGTCTAGTGGATCTGTCGTGTTCTACCCAAGTTTCTATAAGTTGGTCGTGGATTCAAACCTAAACAACACCTTCTTTGGTTTCCCCGTGAACATCAAAGGCAGCACCAACTTGCTGTACCTGTTGCACGCCATAGAAACCCTGCAATACCAGCCACCAGAAGGGGTTTACTTCTTAGAAGCTCAAAACAGCCGCATAAGTGTGGGTCTGCAAACTGGGCCCACAGTTAACTTCACGCTCTTATGTCGCCTCC